CACAAGCTTAGTTTAGAGGAGATAAAACATAAAGACTTAACTGATTTTTGTTGCCTGGACGTTCAGTTTGAATCTGTGTCATGTTGTGGTTGCCTCCAAAAGTTATGGAGTTGATAGTTCATCTGTCTTATCCGATCATACCCAGAAGACTGAATTTTGTTGTGTCACCATATTTTAGAAAGGACATTGGCAAAGTAGAATGGTACAGTGTACATGGTGGAAAGTGACCAGTGTGGTCCTAATGCTATACTTTAATCATTTAATATAATCCACTCCTAACACCGCCACCCCCCAGTTTTGGTTCCAGAAACAGGGAGGCTATTCAGCTCTGTCTAAAATAGACATTTCAAATATTTTCAACAGTGTAACAATGGAATGGGCTGTCTTCTACAGTTAGTGATTGACTTGTCAGATAGCATATCTAAGAGGGGCCGAATAAAAAAGAGTAATGTCGTACAAGAGGCTTGACTGAGGTGCTCTGATGTCTCTTCAGTGTGTGATTCTGTGGACCATGAGCATCTCTCTCATAAACGGAATCAGGACCTTTCAGATTGGTGTGCACTCTTCATCTGTCCCCTAGCACTCTCTCTCTTCTGTAGCAACGAGTATTACCCAGCAGATCTACAAGTTGCTCCAACCCAGGACCTGCGCAGAAAAGGCAAAGGGGTGGCAGCCAAGGATCCTGAGGAGGAGCCTGCTGCTGGGGATGAGGAGCGGTTGGAGGAGGAGGTGGGTCCTGAAGACGAACCCTCCCAGAAGAAAAAGACACGAAGAGCTGCAGCAAAGTAAGTTCAGCGTCGCTGAAAGTCCACAGATCCACAGCCGTAGGAGGAACAGGAAGAGATAGATCTCTTAAGGCCTAAATGTGAAATAGCCTTGTGCAAGATTAACTACTCAGATAATTATATATGTAAGTCCTACTTCTTCCTGGGACTTTCTTTTACAGCCTGAAGAAAACTGTTAATCTTCTGAGATTTTTGGTTAAACTTTATTAGTTCTTTCTTGTTTATCTGCAGAATGTTAGAGTTGGGGATACTT